CTTAATTACAAACAAACCAATATTTTTTAGAAAAGGTGAGAGATATTATGTTTAAAATATCTCAGAAAAATGACAAAAGATATAAGAGAAAGTATGTTAAAATATACATTTTGATTTATGCAAGCTCTGACTCATTTTCGTGATTTGACAAAGACTATTAATACCGGAAAACGTGAATCCGGAAATTTCAAGATAGAACCTTTTTTTTTTTCGTTTTATAGTGAGTCTAAAACTTCACTGGTTGTTATTCACAGAATGTCTTGTTTAAATAAATGAAACGAAATCCTTAATTTATAACCTAACCTCACGCATCCGTCCTTCGTATGCATGTATGGAATAATTTACATTTCATACAACAACAGAATAACCCATGAAATCTTTTTGGGGGGCTTATGAGATCTTAAATGTTTTAAAATATGCAGTAATGTTTAGTAGGAGAGTTCTTGGTTATACAAAGAATGTTATTAAATCATAAGTTTTAGGCTGCATAAAGCCTTATATAAGAATAATATTACTTAGTTTCCTAATATCTTAGGCCTACAATTGTGAGGCAATTGTACCGAAAGTTCCTTTTTTTTTATAGTTCAACAGAAGAATATGCGCTAGACAATTACCATATAAAGTTTTGCTTAAGTTCATTATTTGATCTCGTTCTATCTCTTTCTTCGAAAAACGCCATGAAAATATCCAAATATTGTTTTAATATTGATGAAATATATTATGAAAGCAAGGATACTTTTGTAATGGTGTGAACGTCTTTTTCAAGCTGGTTACGTGTGACATCATTAATGATTACTTGTCATCAGATATTAGTGTTAGGCTTATTATAATTTTTAAAACTGCATTCTTTATCTTCTTCCTTTAGAGGTTTTCAATAATATTAAGATAAATAATGCAATATTAAAAATATATAATAGGCCTAATAATAATATCCTATGACAAGTGTATTCAACAAGGCTACTTTTGCTTAGAGTTATTCCATTTTGACCTTCATTTGTACTGTAAAAATAGTTTTAAAAACGTTCATGAAATCTAGAACACTATGCACTTAACAGAAGCAAAAATAACTGTTCTTCAACGATATCTTATGATTTCTGTTGGTTGAGGTCTGAGACTAGTGTTAAACATGACTTTCTGATATTCTGCCAGTGTATATTGACTAGTTTCTACTGAAAATAGGTCTTCTACAAGTAAATTATTTTCATTTTCGCTAAAATCTTGACACAGACGGGAGGAAGAACTAATTTTCAAATTAAGACTTTTCTGCAAGCTATGAACCGATAAGTACACATGTTGCATTGTTTAAAACCTCTAATACTAAACTATCATTAAAAGGTAATACTATCTCCTTTTATGATTTGTTGCAAATTTTGATGACTACAACAGCCAATAATTTCTTTACGATCGATTCACGATCTTAGGTTTAAAAAATCATGAAAATGACTCATATTATCATATACATTTTTAGTTGTTGTATGATGAAATGTAAAACAATAATCATAGTTTAATAGTTATGAAATAATCCGTGACATCTTATTAATGCAAACTGTTCTCAAATAACGAACCACTCGTAACGCAATTCAAGACGAGTTAAGCCTTTCCTTACCTTAGACGAGAAAATTCGTAAATCTCACCAATTTAAGAGTCAGCCGTTTGGGAAATTCCTAGGAGTTAGGATTCCGAAAATAAAAGCCTAAATTGACTTTTAGAAAATATTAGTTATGATTAAGTAATTTTTGGCCAAGTTAATAACAACTTTCATGTTTGAAAGCATATAATTAAATTAAAATTTAAATTTCTAGGTGGAGTTGGGAGGAAACCAGCGACGTTTATTGAGGGATGTTTGATTGCTACGGAAACGAAACTGTTTCATCGAATCGTTCGGATATTTTCCTGATTTGTATGTTGCCCAGTATTTATTACTAATTTTTTTGTTGTTAATTTTGCAACGATGTATTAAAATCGAAGTAAACTTTATGAGTCTTTTTGTTATTTGTTCAGTTTAATGGTAATTACAAGTATGCGATGTTTTTGTTGACTCCTTTGAGGTTCTGAGAAAACAAAGATTGTTTTTTACATTCTATTCCAGAGTGAACGAAACACGGAAACAAAATCTTAGAGTAATATGAATTGACTTTATTTGCTTTTTATTGTCCTTAATAAAATTATTATTTACATTTATATGGATTTATTTTCTTTTTCTTTCAAAATTTTGAAGACTGAAATCACTTGGCGCGAAAAGTTGGAAATCAGAAATTAGGTGTACAGGTTTTTAAAAATTTCTATGTTTGTTTGGCTTCATGTTCATATCAGATTTTTCATTTATTTTGTTTGAAGACAGTTCCAACCATCTGACCAGAATGAAATATGCACTCGGTGCTCTAACGTTCCCGCTGTTCACCTTCATTTTAAATACACAGCACTGCCTTCACACGTTATAAACGTTTTGCATTCAGATACAAATAACCACAGCCAAAAGATGTTTGGTACACGAAGCACAAGTTTACACCCTAGTCATTACTAAAACACATTATGCTTAGTGGTCAAACTAAATAGAGCCGGGGGGGAAGTATAAAAATAATTAAACTTTCCAAGTGTTTATCTGGAATAAAAGGCAGAAGATTTGTTTGTTTGTAATTAAGCACAAAGCTACACAATGGACTATATGTGTTCTGCCTACCACGGGTATTGAAACCCGGATTCTAGCGTTGTAAGTCCGCAGAAGAAATGAAGTTTTTACAAAATTTATATTTCAGTTTTGTTTCTGAAAATTGGGTCATGCTTTTAAATTTGTTTTCTGAACTTTACATCTCAGGAAATTAAACGCTTTTATTCTTATTTAGTGTTTGTTATTTACAATTACGTAATGTTAAGCTGATGATATTTATTTGTGCCATGCAAAAATACAAAGTGTATAAGGTTGAAAAATAAATTGTGTTAATAATGACGACACAAATATATATTTGTTTAACAATCACGTGCTTGTTATATCATTATTAATATACAAAGATTGCATACAATTTTATACTTTGCATTAATTTTATGCTAGAAAGCTGGGAAAACTATTTTAATACAATATTAGCGAAATGAAATAAATTTATAGCAGAAATGGGAAGTCATTTAAACTGCTATTAATATCTCTAAGGCTATTTGACGCAACATTTAGTGTTATCCACAACGATCTATATTTAATGCTGATATATTTATATCACAAACATACTATACAGATGTCCTAAAACATAGGGTGCTCGATTCGCGAGATCGAAACCCTTAACCTAAAATGCGCATCTTTAAAGCACTGGGAATGTTTTAATTTGATGGTCAACCCTACAATTCATTGTTAGAGAGTAGTCCAAACGTTGGCGGAGGGTGTTGTTGAGTAGCTTCCTTCCCTCTTATCTATCAATTTAAAATTCGAGACATCTAGTACAACTAGCTGTTGAATAGCTTTGCGCGAAATTCAATAAAACAAACAGATGACAGAATTTGATTTTCTTTTCCTCTTAAGCTGATGAAAATAAACACTGATTATAGCACATTAAAACGAGGAATGGGAAAAAATAAATAAGTTATTGTCAGACTTCAGCTCAAAAAGTGAATCATTCAAATATTTTATATAACTTGTGATTTTGTTGTCTCCACTACATAGTGTAATTTTTCTACCACGTTCGACATTATTTTCCACCAGATCAATAGTAACTAGTTTCTACGTTCACACAGAGCAGGGGTCACCAAACTTTTTTTTCACAGCGGCCAGATAACTGAGAGAATTACGAGCGCGGGCCGCATAACCATTTTGTTGAATACAATACAGTGAATACACAAAAAATAAAGACAACAAACATGTTTATTTATCAAAAAGTTATCAAAGAAGGCGACGTTAGCAATAAGATAGTTATATCACACCCAGTGCGCACATATCCGAATCTCACAAACTAAGCAGCAAAAAAGGTTAGTGAGATTTGTGAAATTGGCGTTTAGCTTTTGAGATATCGTTAATATTTGCTTTGGAATTGCTGCATCCAACCAAGAGAATTGCTTTCAAATGTTCATCAGTCAACCTCGTTTGATGTGCTGACTTCACATTGAAAATGTTTGCTCACAGACATAAGTTGTTCCAAACACTGATGCCATACCAGAGGCAAATTTCTTCAACTTTAAAAACTTATCATCAGGTATCTGTGCTTCTCTTTCAACAAGTCATTTGCTTGCAAATCAATGAGCTTCAACTGTAGCTCGACTGGCACGTCATTAAGGTTACAATCAAACGGATTCTGGAACAGAAGAATGTCACTTTCAATTCTGTCGAGATCTGAAAATCTCTCCAAAAATGCATATTTAAGTCACTAATAATCTTCTTTGGAAACTCGAGGTTGACATCTTCTGCGATTCCAGCGCGTAACTCTTTGAAACACTGAAAACACTCCTTCCAGTTGTGCTTCAAACAATGATAGCTTTCTCCGAAATCCTTTGATGATTCTATAGAGATCACAGATAAGGTTATTCTTTCCCTGAAGTTTCAAGTTCAATTCATTCATGCGGGATGTGATGTCAACCAAAAACGACAACTTTGACAGCCAGGTAGGATCTGACAGAAGTGGATCAGCTCTATCCTTTTCGGTGAGAAAAATATCTATTTCTCTTCGGAGCTTATAAAAATGAAACAGGACTTTACCACAGCTGAGCCACCTCACTGCTGTGTGATAAGGCAAGTCACAGAATTCAGAATCAATTTCTTCAAGAAAAGTCTGGAACTGGCGGTGATTAAGTGCATGACCCCGAATGAAGTTCACCGCAGAAACGACTGCTAAGTCTTTCCCACAGAGTGCTTGCTGATATATAATGCAGTGTATAAACAGAGCGCCCGGGAGTTGAAGATCTTCCCACTTAGTTCGTATCTGCCCCACCAGACCCTTCCTCTCTCCAGCCATGTTTTTTCTTCCATCAACTGTAACACATCGAAGCAGATTCCACTGAAGGTTATAGCCTTTCAAAGTTTTCTGCACTTCCATAAAAATGTCTTCTCCAGTTGTTGTTCCATGCATACTGCAAACGGATGCCATCTTATGCACTATTTTGTAACTTGTACGAGTGACAGATTCATTTTCAGCAAACATTCTCGTGAAGAGATTCCTTTGAGATTCCAAAGTACGTTTCATGAACTCAAATTTCTCAGAACGCAACTTTCCAGAAAACGTTGAATATGTTGACAGATGTTTTGTTTCATAGTGATGCCGAAGATTGTACTCTTTCAAAACGGCAACACTTTCGTTGCATATCATGCAACTAGTTTCTGGTTGTTTGTTTCCACAAAGAAGTACTTTTCTCCCCATTCTTCATTGAAAAGGTGACAATCAGCATCTACTTTTCTTTTCTTAGTAGCAATAACGATGGATGAAGAAAACAGGATCTAAAAATGAAAAACAATTGTTTATTTACACATTGAATAGTCTACCAAAAATGTTTTAGAAAAATAATAATTTTTCAAAATTTTTTTGACATGTATATAAACATGACAAACTAAATGTAAATAGTTCATGACATTAAGTTACGTTATTACGTAATTGGTTTAAAAGTTTTTTCCCGATAAGTTATTTGATTAAGCAATTTTTATAATTTGCCAATGTATTTAAAATTTATTATGTAAGTTAATTAGAAGAGCTTCATAAAAATAATTAAGATCATGTTTAATAAAAATATTAAAATCTTAATAGGCAAATATGGTATTAAGAATTTGATACTAATTTAATTTAAATCTTCGTTAACTTAATTAAGTTGTTTTTTGAGTGCATAGCGATTAAAATATAGGGC